GGGCGCCGCTCGAAGGACAATGCTGTCCGCCGGCCCCGCGCGGGCCGCGCTCACCTACGCCCCTGGCCAGGCCGCCGCACCCCTGGCCCTCGCCGAAACCCGCACCCCCCTCACGGGCCTGCACGACCCACGCTCGCCGCTCTCACCTTCTCCCCTGGCCAGCCGCCGCCCCCCTCACGGCCTGCACGACCCACGCTGGCCCGCGCGGACCTTACCTGCTAGCCGCTGATGCCGCCGTCCACATGCCCGCGGTTCCGCCGTCCGTCCGCTCGTTCGCTCTCTCGCCATCCCCAGCCGAGCCAGAAGGCGCCTCCCCGTCCCCGCTCCCTCGCCGCGTACGCCGCCAGCTCCCCAGCAGCCAGGGAGCCGCGCACTACGCCAGACCAACTGCAACAGCCGCCCCGCGCCAGGCGCCGACGGCCCACTACGCAGGCGCGCGGTGGAGCGGTGTTGGGGGCACGAAGCGGGGCGGGGAGGGCGATGGAGGGGGCGGCTAAGGCGGGCCGAGCTCGGGACTTTCCGGTGCGCGCCCGGAATGGGGGTCCGTAGGCGCCCGGAGTCCTGTAGCCTGACGGGGCGCGGCTTCTCCCGAGGGCGGGCAGCCAGAGAAGGGCTTCGTTTTCGCCCAGTAGGACTTTCAAAAGGACGGGGCCGGGCGCGGTGACTCACACCTGTAAATCCCAGCACTCTGGGAGGCCGAGGCGGGTGGATCACGAGATCAAGATATCGAGACCATCCTGGTCAACATGGTGAAACCCCGTCTCTACTAAAAATACAAAAAATTAGCTGGGCATGGTCGCGTGCCAGTAATCCCAGCTACTCAAAAAACTAAGGCTGGGAATTGCCTGAACCCAGGAGGCGGAGGTTGCGGTGAGCCTCGCACCATTGCACTCCAGCCTGGGTAACAGGAGCGAAACTCCGTCTCAAAAAGAAAGAAAGAAAGAAAGAGACAGAAAGGACAAGCCCCTTTTCTCCTGGGACGTATGCCGCAAGTCGTCCTGAGTGGTGCACCGCAAATACTGACGAAGCTGGATCACAAGGCTGGGCTGCGAGCCTTTTGAGTCCTGAACCTCGGGAAAGCCGCAGCTCTCCTCCACGCGCCGTTCAGGGCAGCGAGACGGGAGCCCTTTAAAACGATGGATTTGGGCCTGGCGCGGTGGCCCACGCCTGTAATCCCAGCACTTTGAGAGGCCGAGGCGGGTGGATCACGAGGTCAAGAGAGTCAAGACCATCCTGGTCAACTGTGAAACCCCGTCTCTACTAAAAATACAAAAAATATACTGGGCATGGTGAGCTGTGCCTGTAATCCCAGCTACTCGGAGGCTGAGCAGGAGAAGTTCCTGGACCCAGGAGTAGAGGTTGCGGTGACCAGATCGCGCCATTGCACTCCAGCCTGGGTAACAAGAGCGAAACTCCGTCTCAAAAAAAAAAAAAAAAAAAAAAAAAGATGAATTTGCTTCCTGGACTCCCTGGAAGAGACGTCTTCACCACCAGCACTGCGCAGAGGCCGGCGTCATCGCCGGCTCGCCCAGCTTCTGCCTCCCAGCACAAAGCCCTGCCCAGTATCTGAGGTTAAGCGGGGCCCCGGAGCCTCACCTACAAACCCTGGCCTGGCCTAGGCTGGTGTGGGGACGGTATGTTGCTCTGGAAGCCCAGAAACCTCTTCCAGTCCCCCCGCAAATGGAACTCATCCACTCTCCCGCAAGGTTAAGGGACAAAAATTCCCATGATAGCAGGCGAATTCATTTGACTTCCGTTCAGTTAAGATGCATTCCTCAGCTTTTGTTGCTTGTTCCAGAGAAGGGAGAGAGGTAGCATGAAGAACAGGTTTGATTCCTGCAGAATCGAGGTGCGGACTTGGAGGCTGAGTCCAGCCGGCTCTCTCCACTCCCCGCCAACCCGGTGTCCTGGAGCAGGTCACTGGACCCGGTTCCTGAGTGCGACAGGGCAGCGGCTTCCTAATAAACCGCCTCCCAAAGCGTTGTCAGATCAAATTTCAGAAGATGTCATTGGAAAGCACCTTGAACACTCCAAACTGCAGCACATGGTTAGGTAGCAATCCTCTTTGGGCTTTACTGGCACCTTTTCTTACAAAGAAGATTGATATGTGCCTGCTCGAACAAATTGAAGTGCTCGTCTCAGATGACACGCTTGGCAGGTATGGGACGTTCACAGGCCAACTAGAGGGATAATTCAATACCGGAATATAAAGTGTATCGCCGTAGTTACAAGTTCACAAGTATTGAGAAATCATCACTTGATTTGTGTATTAATTGTCATGTGTGTGTGACAGTCTCACTGTGTTGTGCCCATGCTGGAGGGATTGCAGTGGCGCAATCTCGCTCACTGAAACCTGGCCTCACGGGTTCAAGTAATTCTCAGTGCCTCAGCCTCCAGAGTAGATGGGATTACAGGTGTGTGCGACCCCCTTGTAGACCCCTGCCCAGTACCCGACCCCAAATAACAGCTCGAGAGTTGGAAGCCGAGTTCAGGTTTATTGGGACCAGTGGCAGCCAGGAAAGGAAGGAGATCGGGCTGGCTGCGACTGCGCAGCTGGGGTAGGAGGTTTTTATAGGGGGGTGGACGGGGCGTGGACACAGGGCTGGCGGAGTGTCGTAGGAGCTTAGGATAGGCTGTCCGTCTCTGGGCAGACTGCTGAGGTGGCTCAGAGGGTTACGTGTCATTCAGGATAGGCCGAGGCTTGGCGGGCTTTTCTCAGGGCAGCAGGAAGCCTGGGGGAGGGTGGGGGCAAGAAACCTGGGGGAAAGATGGCGGGACTTTCTACCAACATTCCCGACTCCTTAAAAAGGAAAAAGGGCGGCGGAATCGATCTGGCTACTTCCTGCTGACAAGGGTCGACGGGGGGTTCTGAAGAGGTCTCTTTTCTTAAGGAGCCTGGATGTTCAGGGAGAGGTCTGTTCCTTGCACTCGTTCAGGGTGGGGTTGGAGCAGCATCTGGTGGATGGTAACTCGAGTCAGTTCTTGAAAGCACCGCTGTATGAACTGTAGAAAGCAAGGAGCAATAAGTAAGATTAGGCAAACGGCTACTAGGGGCCCAAGCAATGGGGACAAGAGGGTATACATAGAGGAAGACCACCACGCTGTGGCTTCAGCCGAGAACTTCTGACTCTGCAGGCTAGTTTTGAGTTTCTGGAGGCTCTCGATTCGGGTTTCTACTAGGCCGGATTCATTGATGTAGTAACAGCACTCTTCTTGTAGGAAGATACAGGTCCCTCCTCGTTCAGCAGTGAGCAGGTCTAGGGCTCTTCGTTTCTGCAAGGCAACTTGGGCAACTGGGTGATCTGTCGTTGGAGTGATGCTAAAGACTCAGTAGAGTCATCAATAGCTGCTTGGAGTTGTGAGGTCAGTCGGGCTATGGCCAGGTGAGAGTGGACTAGTGCCCCTCCTCCTAATCCTGCTGCAAGTGCTGAACCAGCAAGGGAGACTCCAACGGCAATGGGTAGGAAGGCAGCTCGTTGGGTGCGGCGATGGGGAGCTTGCAGCATCTGGAATTCGGCTGAAGAATATATAGTGAGTCGAGGGACTAGGGTTACTGGGAGGCATAAAAGAGATGAGGAAAGGCCAATGTAGAGAGTTTTTGTTAAGGTCTTGTTACACCAAAAAACGTTCCTCGTGGGGCTGTTATATTAGTGGTTACCAGTATAGTTCTGTTACAGCTAGGGAAGTTTTGGCCTAGGGAATAGCACACAGGTAGCTGTTCAAAATCAGGTGGAGTGTAGAGATCACTTCCCTGATGGGGGAGAAGGAAGAAGTTGAGGCTGAAAGGTTGAGAGGGATGGGGTAAGGGACTGCAACGAAGGGAGTCTGTCCTAAGAAGGCACACATGAGGCATGAAGTTAGGTCAGTTAGTCCTGAGAGGTTAGCTAACTTGATTCCTTCTCGGAGAAAAGTTAACCAGGAAAACGGAGACGAATGTGGTTGCAATTGGTCATTCAGAGATTTTTCTTGTAGGCTAATATCAGAGTGGACTTGGTGGACTGTACGTACGTATGTCCGCCAGATGTACAGGTGGGAAGAGGGATATTTGGTATCTATGTGGTCATACACGGCAGCTTTCTGGGGCTTTTCCACCGGTTGTCCCAGGGTCAGGTATGAGAATGGAATACCGTGTAGAACCGATAATGGTGTTTCCTTCTCCATCTATGTCTGGGATGATTTTGAGCTGAGATCGGGCAGGTACTGTGGACTTGATGGCTATATGTAGTCGACAGCTCATCCAAGTACATCCCATGCAGGAGCGCCAAGGAGTATTATTGCATGCTCCTGATGGTTGGTCATGGTTGAAGCACATGAGAGGTATATCAGTATGGATGTTATGGAATTTGGTGAAGTTCAGATATATGGCCCTTTGGCATCCGGCTGCGGGGCAGTTGGAAGTTGCAAGAAGATGGTTGTGGCTGTATGGAGGGGTATTACAGATGAAGGTGGTTTTGGTATAGTTTTCAGTTAGGAAGAATCTCCATCTGTAGGGGGTGTGGCTGCTAGGCCCTGGTAAGTTTGACAGATAAAGGGCCAGTAGGAACAGCCTTCCAGCATAAGGAGGGTCCATGAGGGGCCTTTTTTACCCGAGACAGGTGGACCCAAGATGGGATTTCAGCAACTCTTATAGCTGATGGAGTGGTAAGGAGGACTGTGTATGGTCCTTCCCACTTGGGGGCGAGGGGCTTTGGGAGAGGGACCTGATAAGAACTGAGTCCCCGGGGGAGACTTTCTGTGTATTTTCAGATGGCTGGGTGGGTTGGGGAAGAGAAGCGTTGGCGTGTTCTCGGAGAAGGCTGCGAAGGAGAGTAAAGTAGGGGAGGTAGCTGTCTAGAGGAGTGGTCTCTGGTGGTGGGAGAGTTGAAAGTAGGAAGGGGCGACCGTACAGCAGCTGAAACGGGCTAAGCTGTGATGGGCCCCGGGGCTTGCTCTCAACCTGGTGAGGGCGATAGGAAGCAAGGTTACCCAGGATTGGCAGAGCTCAAGCATGAGCTTAGTCAGATGCTCCTTTATTAGGCCATTGGCCCGTTCCACCTTACCAGAGGACTGCGGATGGTAGGCGGCGTGTAGCTTCCACTGAATTCCTAAAGAGGTAGAAACGGCATTAGTGACTTTGGAGATAAAGGCTGGGCCATTGTCTGACTGTATGGTAGCCGGGAGTCCAAAGCTGGGATGATGTCTTGAATGAGATGAGTGGCTACTGTCCCGGCCGACTCAGAGGCTGTGGGGGTAAGCTTCAATCCAGCCTGAAAAATGTCAACAATTGGTTAGCAGATACCGTACTGTTTATGCTTTGGCATATGGGTGAAATCAATTACCAGTCTTGGCCAGGTAGGAACCCGCGTAGCTGATAAAGCTGGCGCCGAGGATGACAGGAACCCTGGGAATTAGTTTTTGCGCAGACAGTACGTGAGGACTGGACTTCCTGTATGGTACTGAGGAGATGGTGACGGGTGAAAAGTGTGTTGAGGAATCGGTATAAGGCTTTAGGCCCAATGTGGAGTGAATTATGGATGTCTTGATTATCTGTACCTTTGCTTTTCAGGGAGGATGAGGAGGTTATGCTTGAAGGCCAAGTCATCCTTGACCGTACCCCGGGGGTAGACTGGAGGGTCTGGAATTCTGAGGCAGAGTATTGAGGGCTAGGAGAAAGAGGCTGTGTGGGCTGGCGGTGGGGAAGTTATGACGGCCTTCAGCTTTGAAAGGATGTCTCGCCCCAGAAGGGAACTGGGCAGGTGGGGATTACTAAAAAGAGTGGGTGAATGGCGTGGAGTTATATGAGCACATGAGTGGTGGGGTTTGGTAGGGGATACTCGGGGTCCCATCGATTCCCATGACCGAGACCTGGGAAGGGGTGAGACGGCCAGAATAGAAGGAAGAGCGGAGGAGGTAGCCCCCATGTCTTGTGACCCTAGGCTCGGCAAGGGTAACCGGAGTCGGAAAGCCAGGGCCCCGCTATTCGTCTAGCAGCCCTAATAGCCTGGGGAATGGAGTTCCCTCGGAGGTCGGCTCCTGGCAAGCAGGCTTCTCCCTACTGAGGGTGACTGCCGGCTGAGTAACGCCAGTGTGTCTGTTTTGAAGGAACCGGCACCCCCTGGTGAAGCTGGGGCAGTCTGACTTCCAGTGTCCCGGGAGCTGACAGATAGGGCAAGGCTTAGTTGGTGGCCGTGGTTGTGGACAGGCTCGGGACCAGTGTCCTTCCTTTCCACATTTAAAACATGCTCCCGGAGGGGCATGGGTTTCGGCCTTGGGCTTCTGGTTCCCTGCCGGCCTTAGAGCCGCCACTAGGGCTTGGGTCTGGAGGGCAGCCTTCTGCTTCATGCGAGTTTGGCGGGCAGCCTCAGCCGCATCTTCCCTGGCATTGAATACTTTAAAGGCCATTTTTACCAGGTCTTGGATGGGAGTCTCTGGCCCCTCTTCTGCTTTCTTTAGTTTCTTTCTTATGTCGGTGCTGATTGGGAGATAAAATGGGAGGCTAATACAGTGGCCCCGTTTTGAGGGGCTGGATCTAGTCGAGTATACCGGACTAGGGCTTCTTACAAGCTGGGGCGAGAAAGAGGGCGGGGTTCTCATCAGGTAGTTGGGTGATTTCTCTCAGTTTATCATAGTTTACAACTTTGTTTAGATCAGCATCCATTCCCCTGAGGAGGTATCTAATCATGCGGTCCCTCTTGGGTATATCAGACCCTCGATTAGCCTGATAGTCCCCATTGGGGGTCTTCACCTGGGATTGCTTCGGGGCCTAGGGGGATCTGGTTATCTATAGCATGGTCTTTATCTGCTTGGTTTCTGGCTGCGGCGAGGATGCGCTCATGCTCCTCCACTGTGAGGGTGAAGGAACAGATAATGCGAATATCATGCCAAGTGAGGCTGTAGGCTTGAGTGAGGTATTGGAATTCCTTAATATAGGTGGAACGGGTCGGCTGAGAAGGATCCTAAACGTTTCTCAATTTGGGACAGGTCTTGGAGTGAGAAAGGAACATGGACCCTGATTAAACCTTCTGCGCCTGCTACTTCTCGGAGTGGGGCCAGGATAGCTGGCTGGTGGGGAGCGGGTGTGTGCCGCCACCGGAGAGGCAAGAGGAAGTGCGGCCTCTGAGGGAGGGGCTCGGAGGGAGTAGAGGGAGAGCGAGGCAGGCCTCCGAAGGTAGGAGGTGCAGAGGGAGCAGAGGAAGAGCGTGCCGTTGATGGCGACTGATTGCTGAGATTGGCAGGAGAGGACAGATGTTCAGGCAGATCCTCCGGTGAGGAGTAGGGAGGGGGAAGAGGTAGTGGACTTCTGGAGTGGGAACAAAGGGGGAAGGACATGTGGTCAGGCATCTCTTCCTGTAGAGTATAGGGAGGTTGGCTTGGTTGGGGCGGTAGGAGTCTGCGGTGGGGGAGTTCGGGCTAAAGAACTTGGTGAGTGGAGCAAGAAGAGCAGAGGTCAGGATGGGAACGCAGGTCCCAAAAAGCCTGAACATAAGGCACTTCCTTATCTTTGCCAGTTCGGCGGCAAAGTTATCTAGGTCGCGGAGCACATTTAAATCGAAAGTGCCGGTAGGAGGCCAATGCGAACCTGTTATCGAGCTGATACTGGGGCCAGGCCACCTGGGAGAGGAAGACAAGCTTTTTCCGCCTAAGGGTTTTGGGAGTAGCCCAAGCGGGTAAAGTCGAGAAGTAAACAACCTAGTGGGGTGTTTTTAGGAATTTTGGACTCCACGCTCCCCATGATGCGTGCGGCAAAAGGGTTCCTGCCAGCCGAGGGGGGTCTCGGAACAGTATCCGAGCTCGGAAACAGTATCCGAGTGGGCTGGGGTAGGTGGGGGGGAGGCGTCCCTCCAACCCACCAGCTTCCCCAGAGGAAGGTGGATAGGGAAAGACCAGAGAAGGCGTCCCCTGTCTGATCGTTTCCTATTTAATGGTTTTGGATTGGGTGGGTCAGAGAAGCCGTCCCTTGTCTGCCGACCAAGGCTCCTGGAGCCTGGTTGGGGGATCCTGCTCGGGCCGGCCGGCACTTTGGCGAGGGGATCCGTGGATGGGACTGAGAGGAAGGGCCTTTGCACACGCACCACGGAAGGAGAAGGTAAGAACAGGACTTACCTGGTCCGGAGTGCTGAGGCCGAATTGGAGGAGGGCTGGGGAGGTGCTGGAGGGAGGGGTTTGCTAGGGGGGCTAGCGACCCTCCCGGCCCGGGTTTCGGCACCATATGTGCGACCCCCTTGTGACCCCTGCCCGGTACCCGACCCCAAATAACAGCTCGAGAGTTGGAAGCCGAGTTCAGGTTTATTGGGACCAGCGGGCAGGCCAGGAAAGGAAGGAGATCGGGGCTGGCTGCGACTGCGCAGCTGGGGTAGGAGGGTTTATAGGGGGGTTGGACTGGGCGTGGACACAGGGCTGGCGGAGTGTCGTAGAGCTTAGGATAGGCTGTCCGTCTCTGGGCAGACTGCTGAGGTGGCTCAGAGGGTTACGTGTCAGTTCAGGATAGCCGAGGCTTGGCGGGCTTTTCTCAGGGCAGCAGGAAGCCTGGGGGGAGGGTTGGGGCAAGAAACCTGGGGGAAAGATGGTGGGACTTTCTACCAAACAACGTCCAGCTAATTTTTTTTTGTTTTTGGGACGGAGTTGCCCAGGCTGGAATGTAATGGTGGGATCTCAGCTCACCGCAACCTCCGCCTCCCGGGTTCAAGGGATTCTTCTGCCTCAGCCTCCCGAGTAGCTGAGATTACAGGCATGCGACACCACGCCCAGCTAATTTTGCATTTTTAGTAGAGTTGGGGTTTCGCCATGTTGGTCAGGCTGGTCTCGAACTCCGACCTCAGGTTATCCGCCCGCCTCTGCCTCCCAACGTGCTGGGATTACAGGGGTGAACCACCATGCCTGACTCAGCTAAGTTTTTAAAAACATGTTTAATAGAGATGGGGTTTTGCCATGTTGGGCAGGCTGGTCTCAAACTCCTGCCCTCAAGCAATCCGTCGGCCTCAGCCTCCCAAAGTGCTAGGATGACACGTGTGAGCCACTGTGTCCAGCCTGTTTAAAATGTCTTTTAGTGGGGTGATCTCAGAAACAAGGAGGGATGGTAAGAAGGTAGGTGTAGAGAAGTCTGCTGGTTGGAACACTTCATCTCACTGGTAAGAGCCCAGGGTTTCTCCACCTAAGCACTGTTGACTTTTGGGATGGAATAATCCTTTTGTGTGGGGTCTGTTCCATGCTCTGTAGGATGTTTGACAGCATCCCTGGCCTCCACCCAGTAGATGCCAGTAGCACACCCACTCCTCCAAAATTTGCAGAAAATCTCTTCAAAGTCAATATGTTGCCCCACCTCCCTCTCCATCCCCAACCCCTGATTTAAATTTTGCCTCTACTAATGGTCACACTGGGAGCTATGGAGAATACACAGGACGGTAGTGCGTGCCTGTAATCCCAAGAGTTTGGGAGGCCAAGAACAGGCAGATGGCTTGAGCCCAGGAGTTCCACAAGGGCAACATAGCAATACCCCAACTCTAAAATAATAAATAAAATTTTTAAAAATTAAAGGCTGAGCACATTGGCTCACACCTGTAACCCCAGCACCTTGGTAGGCCGAGGTGAGTGGATCACTTGAGGTCAGGGGTTCGAGACCAGCCTGGCCAACATGGTGAAACCCCATCTCTACTAAAATGCAAAAATTAGCAGGGCACGGTGGCACGTGCCTGTAGGTAGTCCCAGGTACTCAGGAGTCTGAGGCATGAGAATTGCTTGAACCCAGGAGGCAGAGGTTGCAGTAAGCCAAGATCGTGTCATTGCACTCCAGCCTGGGTGACAAAGTGAAATTCCATCTTAAAAAAAAAAAAATCTCTTTCTTTATAAATTACCCAGTTTCAAGCAAGAGGAAATAGACTGAGACACCTAACATGTGAATTCTGATAAGATGGTGGCCTCATTGAGACAGAGGTATCTCTTCTGTGTTGGATGTGATGAGGCACTGAGGCCATGTCTCTGACTCAGAGAGCCACAATTGATACAAGATCCACTTGAGGAAGTGTGGAGTCCTGGATGTGGGTCAGAACAAAAGTGAACAGCACCCTGCCGATGGTCAGCATTAAGACCAGAGAAGGGGAACAAATAGGAAAGCGCAGAGACAGGGTCAGAAACAAACCGAGCACACACAGCCCTGCTGGGAGCCTCTCCAGGTGTTGCCTGCTCGCCTGGGTTCCAGGAGGCTGGCAAGGGTGGGAGCGTGCTCTGTGCCTCGTCTAGCCCTCTGTCACATTATCATAGCACTGTAAACCCCCAGAGCACACATCCTTTCCTCTATTCTCTGCGCTATCTGCACTGCCTACACAAGTCTGTGAGAGCAGAGGTCGGCAAAGACACTACAAGGCTGGGCACCGTGGCTCACACCGGTAATCTCAGCACTTTCGGGGGCCCTCGGCAGGAGGACTGTGTGAACCCAGGAGCTCCAGACCAGCTTAGGCAAGTTCCACACTGCCTCAGGGCTTACTGATGGCTTAGAGCCTATGGATGGCGTCCCCATGTTTGCTCCACAACTGCAATACAGAAGTTATTCTTCCATGGGAAGTAATCGGTTTCAACAACAAAGAAAACCTAGAGAGTCTCTGCTGGAGCCACACCCAGTCCCAGTCCCAGCCCCCATCCTCTGACCCTGTATCCCACCATCCCATCACCTTGCTAGGGTGTGAGTCTTGAATGGTGGGGGCCTGTTTAGTTTGCTTCTCAGGAAGCCTCAGACGACTGGACTCCACACTAAAGCTTCTTCCTGATAAAAATATCAGACAAGTTTAACAGAGTTTATTTGAGCAAAGAACATTCACCAGCCATACAACCCTCAGAACAGGAAGAGGTTTCAAGAGCTCATCTCCGCAATGTGGGCAGTGAGGATTTTGGATGGGTATGTTGAGAGTAAATCTTTAAGAGATTTATTCTGAGCCAAATATGAGTGACCGTGGCCCGTGACACAGCCTTCGGGTGGTCCTGAGAACGTGGCCCCAAGGTAGGTACGGTACAGCTTGGTTTTATACATTTTAGGGAGGCATGCAACATCAATCAAATACATTTAAGAAATGTATTGGTTTGGTTCTGAAAGAAGGGACAGCTCAAAGAGGGGGCTTCCAGGCTACAGGTAAATTTAAACATCTTCTGGTTGACAATTGGTTGAGTTTATGTGAAGACCTCATTATGTGAGATCAACAGAAAGGAAATGTTCAGGGTAAGATAAAGGATTGTGGAAACCAAGTTTTATTGTGCAGAGGAAGCTCTCAGCAGACCTCAGAGTGAACGGGTTGTAAAATGTTTCTTACTGGACCTAGTGTGCCTAGCTCTTAATTGATTATCTCCTGGATCTGAAAAGTAAGGAAAATTATAAAGAAAAAAAAAAAAGAAAGTTGGCGGGGAAAGGGGATTCTCTGTAGAATGTGGATTTTTCCCGTAAGGGATGGCTTTGCACGGCCATTTCAAGATACAGCAGAGAAACGTGATTTGGGGTAAGAAGTCTTATTTTCTTCCTTGTTATGCCAGAGTCAGATTGGAAAGTAACTCAAGATATTCAGTTAACTAAAACCCATCTGATGAGAATTTATGGTTTCTAGGGCATGACTCCCCAGACCCCTTAGATAGGAATTTGGTCAAGATAAATATAGATTCCTAAGTATGTATCTTTGAAGCATGGGTGGCCCCGAGAAACAGACCTCTCAGACACCAAACTAGAAAAGGAAGGGGTTTTATTATTACAGCCGGGGAGCAAGTCTTTCTGTTTTCTCCAAAAAGCCAAGCTCCCCTACCAAAGAGAAGCTCTGCCTTTATATAGGCTTACACTCTAGATATTACACCTGAAAGGATCTTAGGTTTACAGCCTTAGAAATTACAAGTGAAAGGGTCTTGGGTTTACAGCTTTAGAAATCACATATGAAAGGGTCGGGTTTAGAGCTTTAGAAGAAATCACATGTGAAAGGTTTGTGGTCTCCAGATGGAGGAGTGGGGTGGGGGTTTGATCTTGTTCACACAGTGCCTTCTGGAGCAATTCCCCCATACCACGCCTGCTATCTTACAGGAAGATGATTCGGGAAGTGCCAGTTGGCCAGCCTGTTCTTCCAGTGCAGCAGGAGGTGAGCGGCAGGCGGGGCAGCGAATGAAGCTTCCTGGATATTTACAACCCCTGCCCATGGGTGGGATCGCATGCAGTGTGGAAGTCAAGTGAGCAGTGATCCTAGATGCCTGGGTCTCCTTCCACATCATAGCTGAGTCCTTAGGTAAAAGCAGAAACAAAGAACAAAAAGCAAATTGGTAGTTTGAAAGTTGCTTTCCTTGTAAAGGTTAAAGCAGAGGAGGCTCCCTTGTCATGCCAGCTAAAGCTGGCCTGTCTGGAAATTTGACTTTTCTCTCTCTCTCCTGATCGCTCAGGTCAGCTAACTTAGTTCCAGTTTGGTGACAACAAACTTTAGCAGGAGGGACTTGGTTTGGTCTGTTAGAGCTGGTGCAGGAGCTCGGTGGAAATCAATGGCCTCCTATAAATGTTATTTACATTCCTATTAAAGGGAGAGGAGGCCAGTGGTGAAGTTCAGCAAGAGAAACTTACTCTATAAAGAAAATCTGCATCCGTAATGGTGTCCTCCTCTCTGTACTGCGAAGGAAAGGATGAGTAAGTCACTGGAAATTCTTAACGCGGAAAGCGCAAGCTCGATCTGCATCACAGACTTTGGCTTTGGTTGACCCTGCACCTCCTGGCCAGGCAGTCCTAGGGGAGGATGAGGGTGTTCTGGCCTATGCCCTCTCTTTCTTTGTCAGGGAATGATGGTAAGTCTGAAGCTAATTCTTTGATATCTACTCTTGCGTTGTCTCCCACGCAGTTATAAGGTAGTCATGTTAATTGACTTCTTTGCTTTTCTCTTGTTAATCTATCTTTTGTTCTAGCAGTCCATCTCAACCAAGAACTCAGAGAGGAAAAATACCTTTTTTTCTCCCCCAAACTAGCCTGCCACTATCCGCTGGAAGCCAGGCAGCAGCAGTGAGACTACAAGGGGCAAAGAGAATCCAGGAACTGCGTCTCTCAGAAGGCACCCTCTCTCCACACTCATTTATACTATGGCTTAATGCCATGCTCCCGGAGCCTCCGCAAAATCAATCACAAATTACAGTGCATGCCCTTCCAGGCTTCTGTCAAATAACTGAAATTGTCCCTGTCTGTTTAAAGGCAAGGTGCACCTTGCCTGGTGGCTAGACAAGAGCGGATCTATCAGGACAGGGGAATTGCAACAGACAAAGAGCAATTTCACAGAGCCCGCTGAACAAAGATGAGAATCTTATTATTACTCAAATCATGCTCCCTGAGCATTCAGGAAACAGAATTGTGAAGGATAATTTGATGGGTGAGGGGTGGGGTCAGGGAGTGCTGATTGGGTCGGAGATGAAATCATAGGGAGTTGAAGCTGCCCTCTTGAGCTGAGTCAGTTCCTGAATGGAGGCCACAAAATCGGATGAGCCAGTTTATCAAAGAATCTTGGGTGGTGTCAGCTGATCCATCAAGTGCCAGGTCTCCAAAATATCTCAAGCATTGATCTTAGGTTTTACAATAGTGTTGCTATACCCAGAAGAAATTTGGGGAGGGTCAGAATCTTGTAGCGTCTAGCTGCATGACTCCTAAACCATGATTTAATCTTTTGACTAATTTGTTAGTCCTACAAAGACAGTCTAGTCCCTAGGCAAGAAGGGAGTTTGTTTTGAGAAAGGGCTGTTACCATCTTTCCATCAAACTATAAACTAAGTGGGAAAAGTAAAAAGGTCCTCTTAAAAGTTTCCTTTTTTGTTAAAGAATAACTAATGTGATAGAAATAATCATTTCTGGAACAAAAAACACTGACTGCCTTCAAGTTTCCTTGCTTTTTGCTAGTAACTCCTTGTTAAGCCCTATGTAGCTGCTAAATATAGTAACGGAATAGTACATTCTATGTCCTTCTACTTCTTTTTTTTTTTTCAGACGGAGTTTCGCTGTTGTTACCCAGACTGGAGTGCAATGGCGCGATCTCGGCTCACCGCAACCTCCGCCTCCTGGATTCAAGCAATTCTCCTGCCTCAGCCTCCTGAGAAGCTGGGACTACAGGCGCGCACCACCACGCCCGACTAATTTTTGTATTTTTTGTAGGGACAGGGTTTCACCATGTTGGCTAGGCTGGTCTCAAACTCCTAACATCAGGAAATTCACCTGCCTTGGCCTCCCAGAGTGCTGGGATTACAGGCGTGAGCCACCATACCTGGCCACCATGTTATTTTTGTAAAGATAAAAAAGAAAAAAAGATTTTTTAAATCTCAGGGTTGGAGATGCAGGAGTGGTCAGCAGTTCACTCACCAGTGCTTGTGGACTTTGTTCTCTTCCTGGAAAGGGATGGAGAATTCCAGGTCCAAAGGGAGCCTCTGCCGTCCACAGTTCTGAGCTTCAAGTCACTAGGAGTTCTTTAAAACTTGTGTGGTGAGACTCCGATGTTGTCCTCAGTTCCCAGGCTGAACTCAGCAGATCAGCCCATGAAAACTTCTGTATTGAGACAAAGGGAGAGAAACTGTCAGAAAGCAACACCTATTGTCCTGGTGTCGACACCAAGGAAGAGGACAGGTAACAAAGAAGTTGAAGACAGCTGATGGAGCGAGATATAACATTCCAGCTCCTCGATCTAGAAACCCTGGCAGGACCAACAACAGCTTCATAGACCAGGCTGGGCGTGGTGGCTCACGCCTGTAATCCCAACACTTTGGGAGGCCGAGGCGGGTGGATCACCTGAGGTCAGGAGCTCGAGACCAGCCTGGCCAACATGATGAAACCTTGACTCTACTGAAAATATAAAAATTAGCAGAGGGTGCGGTGAGCCGAGATCACGCCACAGAGCTCCTGCCTGGGCAACAGAGCAAGACTCCATCTCAAAAAACGAAAAACAAAAACAAAAAACAGGCCCAAGGTCAGAATCCCCAGTCAAGATTCTTCGTGAGAAAAAAGACAGCATTATAACTCAGCAGCAGCTGTAGGGCAGGCCATGCAAGATGGGGAAAGAACAAAAATGTTCCAAATAATCAAAATTGGAACTCTAACTTTTCAGGTCCCAGCTTACTTTGTCAATCTCAAGCTAATCAGAACTTTGCCAGGGTCAAATGTAGTGACCATCCAACACCAAGGGTTCTTCCCAAACCACCAAGCTGTTTCCTTTTAATTCTTCAGATAAGGAAATAATGACATTTTAACCTAAGTCCCTACTTGAAGTACAGGGACAAAAATAAAGTACTAATGGCTACGTTAAGCTATGTTTACAGATAATTGTCAATTGGTCTAAAACAAATTTACCAAGGGATTATTGTATATATGTAGAACTGTTAATGTAAAAATATTACTGACTTCATCTCATTTGTTTTATACGTTAGGTGCCCTGTGATGTAATGACAGCATCAGTGCAACTTAAAGTAACTAAGTTAAAAATTGCACTTACTATTCAGTGTTCTCAAATAATTTTTTTGTTTGTTTTTTTTACACAGAGTCTTGGTCTGTTACCCAGGCTGAAAGTGCACTGGTGTGATCTCAGCTCACTGAAACCTCTGCCTCCCGGGTTCAAGTGATTCTCGTGCCTCAGCCTCCTGAGTAGTTAGGATTACAGGCGTGTGCCACCACGCCTGGCTAATTCTTTTATTTTCAGTAGAGATAGGGTTTCACCATGTTGGCCACGCTGGTCTCAAACTCCTGACCTCAAGTGATCCACCCTCCTTGGCCTCCCAAAGTGCCAGGATTACAGGCATGAGCCACGGTGCCCAGCCTCAACTGAGTAACTTTTAAGTGAAACCATTCAAGTTTAGATTTGGAGACTGGAAGGCAATCAACGTTTTCTCTTGAATGTTCGGGGAAAATGGTAATATAAGATTATTATTCATGGACAGCAGGTTGTGGAAAGTGAATCAGATTATAAACATCTAGCTAAGACACAGGACTGAGAAGTAGGTAAACTTCTGAAAGTTCGGTATACTAGAATCACTCAAACCAGTAAGATGCCAACAACCTGATGAAATCTGGTCTCTACTAAAAATACAAAAGATTTGCCAGGCGTGGTGTCACGCACCCGTAATCCCAGCTACTCGGGAGGCTGAGGCAGGAGAATCGCTTAAACCCAGGAGACAGAGGTTATAGTGAGCTGAGATCGTGCAATTGTGACGGAGCAAGACTCTGTCATAAATAAATAAATAAATAAATGACGTGAACTCCTGCGTAACACCTTGATAACATGTTTTTACAAACCCTAAAGGTGAATGCTTAATCTGTTAACCCAATAGCAAGTTAAATAAAATGTGAGTCCATTTAAAATTTTTGGCTGGTTCGGTTGCTCATGCCTGTAATCCCAACACTCTGGGAGGCCAAGGCGTTTGGATCAGCTAAGATCAGGAGTTCAAGACCAGCCTGGCCTTGTAGAGGCCTTTTAGTAGAGACATGGTGAAACCCTGTCTCTACTCAAAATAGAAAAAATAGCTGGGTGTGGTGGCGCACACCTGTAATCCCAGCTACTCGGGAGGCTGAGACAGGAGAATCACTTGAACCTAGGAGGTGGGGGTTGTGGTAATGCACCACTGCACTCCAGCCTAGCTAACAGAGTGAGAGACTCTCCCTCAAAAAAGAAAAGAAAAGTACTTCAGGGAAAAGATGTGAATGAAGATGATAGGTGATAGGTTAAAAAAAAAAAAAATTCACTGATCCTGAAACGTTTTTTTAAAGAATTACATCAAATTTATGTTGATTCCAAGAACAGTGTAAAATATCACATATTGTTACATTTGTTATGACTATACTAATAAAAATAAATTATACAGTCAATGTGTATTTTATTGAAGATTATTCATCAAAATAATGTTCTCAAGGGGAAGTCTCTTTGTACCCAAAACAGACAAGTCATCCATCTTACCTCAATGACATACTTCTCCAAAGACCTGACATCTTTAAGAGCTTCTGGATCTTGATGAATAACCACAATTTCTTTCAAAGGATACTAGGAGGAAAAGGGAGGGGAAAGGTCACTGAGCAGCCAGTCCTCTAAACTGTAGAAAAATGAAGATTAAATTTTTATTTGAACCTCAAGCGCTAGACTAGTCAGGCTGGACTAGTACTAACTCATTCACACCCTCACTGCAGTAAAGAAAAAAGGCCATTGCTGGAAGCTCTCTATATTAAGAGAATACCCCAAAGACTTAAATGTTTAGGTCGGTGCCATGTAAAACAGAAGTAAAATTTCAAACCTTTATGGGAATAGTTTTGCGGTCTCTGATCACTCACTCCAGTTCAATCGCAGACTGCATCTGAGGTATTGCACTCTGTGTTTTCTTATCAATCAATTCTTCTCTGAATGGTAGAGGTAGGAGTCTGAAAGAGATTAGATTGAAAAGGAAAATTCAAGACATTAGGCCTGCTTACGTGAGGAAGAGGGTCAGGCTACGGAAGTGTGGCCAGGCCCTCCTGATGAGGCACTGGGGGAAGGGCAGCAAGCACAGTGCCCGCCTGGGGGCCAAACAGAGACGGAGGCAGCAGCCTGAGCCTGCCTCCATACCCGGCACCTCCCTAAGGAACCCCACGGGGCATGCCCACACCCCACGTGCTGCAGCTCTACAATGGGGTTCTATACCAAGCATCCCTGCTACCATGTAGTGATGTAGGCCCCATCATGCAGCCTGAGGAGGGGTTCACGTCAGCTGGGGGCTAGGGTGGGAGGCAAGGCACACAGGGAGCTGGAACAGGGAAATGCCTCCTCTCCCCTACTTTGGCACAGGTGAGACATTTCTATTTGACACAGCTGAGACATTTCTATTTGATTCCTACCGAACATGGAGCACCATGAGGTAGTAGATGCTGAGAGTGTCCTTGTCTTGAAAAGAAACAGGGTCAATCAGCACCTTTAGATTCTGGTACATAATTCGGTGAGAAAAGGCGTGTAGGGAGCCTGTAATGAAGACACAGGACATCATGTCAGTCATATGCAGTCATCAACAACTGACCTCATTTACACTGAGAAACAACTCAACATGTTAGCAACACAGTAACATGCACCGAAATGGGCATGAGGTTACAAAACACGCCCCATGAAAGAGAAATGGCCTCAGAGCCCTGAAGCACAGCTGTAGGACTATAGCTAGAAAAACCCAAAGCATCTCTAGAATTCTGAAGGATGTCTAAAATAGAAACAGGAGAACCTAATGATAGATCAGCCAAGTCCATATGCACAGAGGACTGACTGTCCCAAACCTCAGAAGCCTCATCTGTAACCTAAGGAAAACACCCTCTGCTTCACGGGATGAAGGAGATGACATCAGGTATGGAGACGATCAGGCACAGGACCTTGTACAAAGCAGATTTTCCTTCAGTGAAGGAATAAATGGGAGCCTTATAAAGAGATAGAGGAGCAGTAACAGGATTTATAAAAAAGTTGAAGGCTTTCCACTTTTATATTATTTAACTAATATTTGAACTGACAGGAACATATACCAAACAACTACTTGCATGTTTTCCTCTCAACGCTAAGTCAAAGTATTTTTTACGAAATACTTGCTAGGACAGGTGTTAGCCAAAGAACTTCCCCCAATTCGCAATTACGCCAATCCACATTAAGTTGAGGTATGTCTTTCTTTGCACCGTGGATCCTCCTTCTCCAGCCAAGGGCCCTGACATACACTATACTACCAGAGATTGGAAGGAAAAATCCACTATTTCTTAGTCCTTACTTAACATGTATACACTAATGAGATTTCTGAAAAGAAACGACAGCTAGAAGCTGATATAAAACGTCTATTTCTCTTTTTGGTGGAATAACAGAGAACAGACATAAAGGAGGACGCCGCAGCAAGTGGGTACCGAAGGCAGCACACAGGCCAAAGGGTGCTAGAAAGAAGCCACCCATCTTACCATAAGTCTGCAAAGGGAAAGCAGAAAACTAAACAAGGTTTCTAGGGCCATGACACAATCTTCCATCCCATTTTCACCCTAAAGAATAAAAATGAGGGCTGGGCGTGGTGGCTCACGCCTGTAATCCCAGCACCTTGGGAGGCCGAGGTGGGTGGATCACGAGGTCAAGAGATCAAGACCATCCTGATCAACACGGTGAAGCCCCATCTCTACCAAAAATACAAAAAATTAGCTGGGCATGGTGGCGCATGCCTGTAATCCCAGCTACTCGGGAGGCTGAGGCAAGAGAATTGCCTGAACCCAGGAGGCGGGGGTTGCGGTGAGCCGAGATCGAGCCATTGCACTCCAGCCTGGGTAACAAGAGTGAACTCCTGTCTCAGTTACAAACAAAACAAACAAACAAGAAAAAAAATGAAACATAAACTTTAAACTGCTAAAATAAGTGTTTATCATTTAAAAAAAAAACAAAACACAGTTGATTAAAAAGAGGCAACCCTCAAAGAGCATGCAGTACACAGACAGGGCACAAGGCAGAGTAGGAAGAAAGGGCCATGACCACAGGCTGTCTAGGGTGGCCCCGCAAGGCAGTGCAGGAAGCCTGGCCAGGATGTGCAGCTGCTGTCCCTCTATCCCCACCTGAGGCGAACTGATAGGAAAGTAAAGCCTAACCGTAGGACCAAAAGACTGAGGGCAAAATGGATCTACCCACAACAGACAGAAAAAGCTGCTAACTGAAAACTTTAAAGTGCCTTTAAATAAGATATTTTATGTTAAAAAAATGTATCCACTGTGTATTAAAAAAAAACCAATTCACTGTAGGAAAAATGAAGATAATGAAAAAATTTCAACCATGAATACCTTATCCAAAGATAACTACTGTACACATCTTAGCATATGTCCTGGACATGTGTGTATGAGATACACCTGCACAAAAGCCAAATGATAGTTGTGTTGCAGGGTTTTATTATTAATGCATTTTAAGCCATGACTGGCTGCGTGCGGCGGCTCACGCCTGTAATACCAGTGCTTTGAGAGGCTGAGGTAGGTGGATCACATAAAGTGAGGGGTCCAAGGCCAGCCTAGCCAACATGGTGACACCTGTCTCTACTAAAAGTACAAAAATCAGCTGGGCGTGGTGGCACACACTTGGGGACTGAGTGGGTGGCACACACACAGGGGACTGAGGCAGGAGAATCACTTGAACCCGGGAGGCAGAGGTTGCAGTCAGTTGAGATCCTGCCATTGCACTCCAGCCTGGGTGACATGAGTGAAACTCTGTCTCAGAAAACAAAAAAAAAGAAATGACTAATGGGTGGTGGGAGCCATTACTGGGCCTACTGGTAAAGAGACTTCACTCTCCCTGTTATATACATCATTATTATTTGCGTACCTTGCTGAAGTCCTGAGACCAGAACCTATGCTCTGTTCATCCCAAACCCACAACAGCTACATAGCTCTGTCCACAGCCAAATAACCAACTCCCTTGTGGTAAAAGGAAGGTGGTATCCCTCTCAATATTAAAGCCATACCTGCCAATATTTTTATAAAATATTTGCATGATTTTATTTCAAATGTTACGAGGTCTGCTCAGTTTAGTCCTGTTCGTGCTCTGACATTCTCCCTCCAATATATGTACGTAATTGTGTTGTGGAAAAAAAAAATGCAAAATGACTTTTAGAACTTATACATCCCTATACCTCAAATGACAAATACAGTTAAAATGCAATGTGAAAGGAGAAGAAAAACAGAGCTTCAAAAACTGAGAGCATCTGAAAATGTTCCTTTCCCTCTGGGCTATTCTCATACTTCTTCTACTCTCAAACTTCACGTGCTTTTTTTGCCTTTCTCAACGGTAGTCTGCACTTACCTTTAATCTTCTGCGGTTCACTCTAACGTACCAATCAGTGAGAACAGGTACAAACTTGACAAGGCGAGGCACCGCAGCGTAAAGCCTATGAGCTAAAAAAAATAAGACAAGTCAATCAGGCAGCAAGTGAGTACCAGGCACCTGTGGGGAGAGGGCTGGATGTAGCAAAGAACGGGCCAGCGTCTTCTACCCAAGGGCCTCCACTTACTAAGAACCGAAATGAAGCAATCAGGGAACGACCATTTGTTGAGGATGTGCTACATGGCAGTCAAGGTATTTCAAGGTGCACACAAAAAACCATCCTATGAGCTACATGAGAATTCCCACTGGTCAGTAGAAAAAGCCAAAAACTCCAAGATGTGTGGATCCGAGTCCAAGGCTGCCCACTACGTAAGTGTAGGAAATACCGTTTACAGGGAGGTGTGCGATTTGACAGCATACACAATGCCCAACTCCTTTCTAGTGCGGTACATTGTACTGCAACGAAAAGACATACAAAAAGCTCAAATCAGATGCTAAAAGGCATAGCACAGGCCAGTGATTCTCAAACAAAAGCAACTTTGCCCTGCCAGGAACGTGTGTCAATGTTTTCAGAAACAGTTTGCTTGCCCCAACTCGGCGGGTACAACGGTGCTACTGGAATCTAATGGGTAGACACCAGAGATGGTGCTCCACATCTTATAATGCATAGCACAGCCCCACCACAGAGGATCATCTGGCCCAAACTGTCCATAGTGCTGCCGTTGAGAAACTGGCATAGGATATGAGTAAAATATAACTTGCTTTCTAAGTATTAAAACGGGTCAAGTAAAAACAGCAAAAAGAGGTAGCGAAAGTCTTGAGGAATTAGGGGGATTTGAAGGGTTCCCTGAAAAACTCAGAGGTCAGACAGGGAAGAAAGGGTGTTTAGCCAGTCGTGTCTGAGGCGAGGCTTATTTTAAGAATTCTCATTCACCTCCCCTTTAAATTGATACTCTGTGGCATAAAAACAAACACCAAAAGACCAACACTTGGAAACAAACACAATTTAGGATCATGAAAAGAATCCAGGGAGTTTTCATGAGGCTTCTGGTCTAAGCTAAATAGATGAGAAGTTGCAACGGGCAGAGCTGCTCTCTGCTGCTGTTCACAAAGACCAGAACTCGGGTGCCAGGGGGCTGAGCTCCAGGCCAGAGTCCTCAGCTGGTCACACTTTCCTCGAAGAGTGATTTCAGTGACTGAGGTCTGTCTAAATGATTTCTAGGGTTCACGCCACTTTTTACACCTTCCAGGAAGCTCAGGTTTTCTATATTCTGGTTTCAACTCTGAGGGAATAATGATCCCCACATGCGATGAAGGAACTTACAACAATATGAGGGCAACAGCAGCTGGCCACTACCCAGGCCACCGCCACCCTGTGAGCCAGGTCCTCTCACACCCACAGTGCTGCTGAGGGAGTGGAGGGCATGAAGCTGACAGGCTGGCAGAGCTGGGACTTAAGTATGACCCACACAACATGGCTGCTCGTCTCTAGTTTCCAGGCAGATGAGGCTCCAGTCAGGGTACACACTCTCCAGACCCAGCTTCACCAGGTTATGGCAGCTGCTCCAAGCAACAATCCCCACATTTCCCACCCACTCGTATCACTCAGGAGGGAAAAGCAGACACAGCAGCGAGCAGTCTGGGCAGAGTGTGCTGGACTCCCAGTGCTGCCCTCCTCAGGGCAGGAATCACCCTCACACTCACTTTCCTCTTCATCCATGAACATCTGAGCAACAGCCGGCCTGTCATGATCCTTCTACATGTTTAACGAGGTGGACAAATCCTTTAGGGTGACTGATTAACAGTCCTTTTGTGCTACGTGGGGCAGTACTGCCTTTTCCAGGGAGTGGCGTGTGCCAGTATACAGGCTAATGGTGAATCCCAGGTCTGTGGCGGCCACTGCTCTGCCCAACAGCAGCAGGATCTGCAGGGTCCTGTGAGGATGGATTTGCCTTGCCCTCTTTCATCCTCACTGTGACCCAGGGCCTCTGCCTGCCCACTCTAACTGATTGTCTGAGGTGTCCCAGATGTCTCACCTGGACCTATGATTGTAACTATCTGAAACCCTGAGGAACTCAATATAGTGTAGTTTTAAATCTCTATAAAACTACCTAACAAACTTATTGTTGCTATTTAATAGAAATATAGCAATATGTCCATTTCATTATTGCTCTTCTGACTTTTCTAATTTTTCTGGAAAAGATGGAAACTATTCAGTAATAGACCTAAAAATAAGTTATAAATGTCAGAATAACAAGTATTATTTATTGATTACCCATTATCTGCCAGCTACCTTATGTAAATCATCTCTACTTAAGCCGTACAAACAGTACTGGGCATTTTGCAGATAAAGACACTGAAGGTCAAGATAGAGTGGAGGAGTAGCAGCTGATGGTACGACGGGATGATTACAGTCAACAATAATTTCTTGCACATTTAAAAACAACTAAAAAAATATACTTGGGATTTTTAAAGATACAATAAATGCTTGATAATGGATACCACATTTACCCTAATGTGATTACTACACATTGTATACCTGTCTAAAAACATCTCATATACCCCATAAATATATTATTACACATTGTATACCTGTCTAAAAACATCTCATATACCCCATAAATATATTATTACACATTGTATACCTGTCTAAAAACATCTCATATACCCCATAAATATATATATATATATACCTATGTACCCATAACATTTAAAAAAAAAAAGAAACTGATGATCCGACTTTAGGCAACTCTCTGGATTGAGAACAAGTGAACAAGTGCTACAGCTGGGCTCTGAATCCACACCTATCAAACTCTAAGGCTCTTCTGTGGAGGGTTGAGCTCCTCAGGATACCCCCTAAAGACAGAATTGCTCAAGGCTTTTTTTTTTTTCTTTAAAGATGGAGTTTGAATCTTGTCACCCAGGCAGTAGTGCAATCTCGAGTCACTGCAGCCTCCGCCTCCCAGATTCAATCGATTCTCCTGCCTCAGCCTCCTGAGTAGCTGGGAGGCTACACATGCCCACCTACATGGCAAGCTAACTTTTTCTTTAATATAGTTTTAATAGAGATGGGATTTCACCAATGTTCGCCAGGCTAGTCTGGAACTCCTAACCTCAGGTGATCTGCCTCGGCCTCCCAAAATGCTGGGGATTACGGGTGTGAGCCACCAAGCCAGGTCAGAATTCCCCAGGGCCTTGAAACAAAGAGATCCCAACAACTAACAAGCCTTAACAAAACTACATTTGAGAGGTGAAAGGAAGTCGTCATTTCATTTTCTGTATCTCTCTATCTTTCCACTATGTTTATAGACAGATACATACCAAAAGGGCAGTTACAAAGAGAGTAGTTGTGAAAGGACACACCAAGAGACACTCACCTGCCATTTCAGTCTCAAAAGCCAATGAGAGACTGCAGGAAGGACAGGATCAACTGCTCTATAACGTTGGGGCTTTTTCTAACCGTGTTCTCACTGTAGAGAAATTCTATTTCTTCTTCTTCCTAGGAATGAACAATCAGTTAAACACTTGCACATTGGGGTAAGCTGCTATAGAAAAATAAACTTTTTAAATCACTTAAGCAAAAACAAAAATCCCAAAGCCCGTCGGCAATGTCAATTTCTGATTTTCAGCATTATTTTCAAGATAAGCACCAATGTAGGACGTTAAGTCCTCAATTATGTTTTGAGTGAACTGAAGAGAGTTTAGGAAAACATTACTTCTCGGCACCAAACTGTAATGAAGAATTGAGAGATAGTTTAAAACCTTGTCACAAAGTGCAGGGTTTGGTTACTTTAAACCTCAGGAAGGAAGGACAGTCAAACTGTCTAGGACTGAATGACTGTCAGCAAACTGAAAATGAGTACTGAGAAGTAGCTGCCATGCTAAAGCTGTTTGTGTTACCCGGAATGTTCTATCCCGCCCTGTGCAAAATCCTCCTTGATCTTAAGACCCTGCTCCGCACACACAATCTCATGTCCTGCTTTCTCTCTCTTGTGGCAGCACCGACAAGCACAAGCAGGCTCTAGCACAGATCTCTTAGCTCCAGCACAGATATATCTGACATGGCTGTGTAGGTACAAAATTAAAATCGATGATGAAAGAGAATTCGAATACCAAGACAGGGAACCCAGAAAGGAAGTAAGGCAGAGGCAATCCGCATCTAGCCTGGGGAGGACTTGGACAGCCCGACCACACCCAACAGAGGTCCTCTTCCCCAAACAGACCTCAAGGTTTAAAAATGCCTTTATTATCTAGAAAACTATTTGGGGAGTTGAAGATCAACAAGCATACCAACATGACGCCCAAATGTGTTCTTAAAAACCTAACTATACCAAATCTAAGAATTCTGACTAATAGTATAGGAGACGCTTACATAAAAAACAATAAATACACACAAGGCAAAGCACCGGCTTGTACCTGAGCGCATCGGCACCATACTTCTGGATGATATAAACTGGATCTGGATGATTCTTTGTCCATTTGCTCATTTTTAGGCCATCGCTTGTAAAACAAAAGGGAGATGCCAATTAAGTCAGTCAATATCACAGATGATCTTGATAGAAGGATACAAAGTGTTTGCAAACAGGAATACAAAAGAGGAAATGGAAAGGAGTAACTGAGAAGTTAGCGTTAATAGGCCAGTCACAGTGCCTCACGCCTTTAAGCCCAGCACTTTGGGAGGCCGAGGCAGGCAGATCACCTGAGGTCAGGAGTTCGAGACCAGCCTGGCCAACAGAGTGAAACCCCGTCTTTTATGAAAAACACAAAAAAATTAGCTGCGTGTGGTGGTACACACCTCTAATCCCCACTACTGGGGACGTTGCTTTGGTTAAGTTTACCATGATTTTGCTTGAATTGCTCTCCATCAATCTTCTCAGCTAAGATCGAGGTGAGCTGCACAGTGGAAGAGGGCTGCGTGTAAGAAATCAGCTCTGGGCCGGGCACAGTGGCTCACGCCTATAATCCCAGCACGTTCTGAGGCCAAGGCGGGTGGATCACGAGGTCAAGAGATCGAGACCATCCTGGTCAACAAGGTGAAACCCCGTCTCTACTAAAAATACAAAACTTACCTGGGCGTGGTGGCGCGCACCTGTAGTCCCAGCTACTCGGGAGGCTGAGGCAGGAGAAAACTGCTTGAACCCAGGAGGCAGAGGTTGCGGTGAGCCGAGATCGCGCCGTTGCACTCCAGCCTGGGTATCAACAGAGAAACTCCGTCTCAAGAAAAAATATATGCATCTATATATATATATATATATATATATCTTTCACCCAAAAAGACCTGAAAGCACTTGCAGACAGCAAAAATACCTTCCTTATCCTTTTGTTTGTATAATATATCTCAGGAAACATGAAAAAGAATCAGAATACTCGTTTGTTACAGGAAAGAAAATGTTGTGGACAGGAAAAACGTGGGAGAAAGACTGGTCACTGCCTATTCCACTGTGCACAATTTGAATCTGGAACCATGCAAAAGTATTGCTTGGTTAAATTAAAATCATTTAAAAGATAAAAAAAATAAACATTTAGTACCAGCACAACATGCTGGGAAACAAAATGAAAGGCTTTCTGGCTGCACAGCCACTCTTTCCCAGACTGAGGCTTTCTAGCAAAGGGTTTCTGCCTGAAGCAGGCAGAGGATCCAGACGTGGATCATCTGACAAACACAAGGGTTCTTAGGAAGTGTGCTAAATTGCGTTCAGGACCTGTAGCCCCTGTTGAGATTCATCGAGAGTGGGAAAGAGCCCAAGTGGGAAGAAGCATGGGTTGAGGGACACAAAAGTAGGTCTGCTGACAAAGAATGGAAGTAAAGGGGACAGCAGGTTGAAGCTTTGTGCTGTGACCCAGAGGGACTAACTTAAAATTTGCCTAAAGAGGCGTACAGAGTCTGCGCTGCTGCCCTCCGGCTGGAAGGAAACCTCAGTTCTTGCCTACTGGCTGGAGCCCTTCACAGAATGTTCCCCACCCCTACTGGTTCCTGCTGCGCCGCCCCTCCCCCTCTGCAGAATGTCTGGGGTCCTACATTCTAAACCTACTCACTTTCAAATTTTCACCATCTACCTGAACTCAGGAGAATCTGTTGAGGCAGGTCACTCTTTGGGTCCTGCCCTTGACTCTTCATTTCGGAAACTGTCAGACAGCCTGAGGGGATGGCTTCAAATGGAGGTGAGTCTGTAGGGACAGGGGCATCATCCAAGTCTCTGCCATGTTTCAAATCCTTGGGAATTCAAATTTCACACAGCCCCAGGGGACAGTTGGTAGGGCTAGTGTCGAGGGAGGGAGGGAGAAAGGGAGGGAGGGAGGGAGGGAGATCTGGATGTCCCTAAAGACACCACACCTGGGGAGGGCCATGGCACCCTGAGTCTGTGGTTAGGGAGGACGGCTCCTTGGAAGTGGACCAAGATGCCTGGGGGGAATACACCATGTAGGGGAAAAAATGGAGTGGATGTATTGATTCTCTCTAGAGGGGGACAGGTCACGTCACCATTTGTTTGTAGGGAGTGGTGGGATTTGGGATCGAGTTGTGCTGGTGGCCCAGGGAGGATGACAGGCAAGCCTGTGAGCCACGTGTTGTGTCTTCAGGCACCTGGAAGGTGCCCTTCCATAGTGTTCAGAGGGATTTGGACTGGAGTTTTCTGGATCTCAGGGAGGAGTGGGGAGAAGTGGTCTCGGCCAGAAAACCGTTGGGTATGTTGGCTGTGACAGAGCATGCAGTGACAGCCTCTGGGTGGGCGAGGCCGGGGCCACTGTAACTGCCGCAGCCTCTCAGCTCCCTCCCCACAGGTGGCTTCTCTGTCAGTTCAGGTGGCTGTTGGCTTTACCTGGGGTGGCGGCAGTTGGGGAAGTTCAGGCAACATGGCCTGGGCTTCCCAGCTTGTTCTGAATTATTCATCCTTTTGGGGAAACTCAGGTCTTCAGACCCACTTCCTCTTGTCTGCTAGCTCATGGCCTGTCCTCCGCACTTTGTGTTACCGTGGAGAGGAAGAATTGCTTCTATTCCATGTCTACTACTTCATCAAAAGGGGACAGGTGTGGACTCTTGCTGGTTCTCAGTGGAAGGGTCTGGAAAGACTGGTTTCCTTTTCAGTCGAGGAAGGAGAGTACCGCACAAATAGGAAGAGGGTCCTCTTATGACTGTTATTATTCAACTATGATGTGTGTCCTGACTGATGAGGTGCATGTGCTGTATCCCTATGCCCCTTGACTGGAGATTGCATGAGGTCCTGGTGAACAGGGATGAGCTCCAGACGCCTTTGCGACACCCGGCCTGTGGTTACTATATTCAGTTTCTGGGAGCTCAAAGGAAAAGGACCAGATATGGGCTCGTCGTCCCACAACCTACTGTAACGTGACCCGCAGCTGTGAAAATCCCAGGACACCTCCCCTGACAGCCCCACTGCTCACCACTTGCTGGCTGTGCTCCAATCCTGGGCCGCTGCCGCTCTTGCTGGCTACGCGATGACAGTTATCTCAGGGAACTCCACCACTGCTTCTCAGACCTGCTCCCTGGGAACAGTTTCCCGAGTGGCAGCCAGAACCACCGAGCACTGAGCAAAGTGTAGCCTGACTCTGACCCATGTTTCGCACTTCCTGGGCATGGTGCCGGAGCAATCACTTGCACGCTGGATGTGATACGTCTGGGTTATCTTCAGGGTTCACAGGGTGCTGGCTTGGGAGAGATTTCCATCCAGTGGTTTTCTTTCACCGTTTCTTTTTCAAGACAAAGTCTTCCTCTGTCACCGCGGCTAGAATGCAGTGGTGCAATCTTGGCTAAATGCCAGGCTCTGTAGTGAAGCGACCCTCCTGTGGAGAAGGAACAGAGCACGCGATGCACACTCGGGAACACTTGCAAGCTGCAGAGTTTCCCTGTCACACGCCCTCAGCTGTAGGACACCCCTCTGATTCCCCAGTGACTACGGCAGACCTGGAGACCCCAGCTCATTCACCTCTTTCCTTTGTCTCCACAGCATGCCCAGTGCCGAAACTGGGTGTGACCGAGAATCCTGGCGCCTCCGTACCAGTGTTCACGGCATCTGTCCTCCGCCACACCTGCTCCCAGGCCCAGCACACGGGCCTGCCCCTCGTGACTGTAGTGGTTCCTCCAGCCGGGCCTCCGGTGCTGTCCGCCCTCCCCGGGAACCCCCTGGTGGCAGGACAGGATGGCCGTGGCCCAAACTGGACTGCGGCTGCCAACGTCTTTGGCCAGATGATGACAGCAGTGGGGCCTGTGAACGCCCCTCAGGCACAGAGCTTGGTCCTAACTCGGGCCCCCCTCGTCTGGCGGGATCCAGGTGCCGTCTGTCAGGGCGTCGCCTGTCCACCTCCCCGACCCCTGGCAGCTGCCCCTGTGGTGCCCGCTATGGTTGCCCACATCCGTGGGGGCACCCAGGCCTGCGAGGGAGGCTGGTCCCAGGGCCTTCCTCCTCCGGCACCACCACCAGCTCCCCAGCTGGCCCCAATCATGGTCCCAGGGAATGCTTGTCCATGGCCACAGGGGCTCACAGGAGAGGGCAGCCAGGCTCCCTCCCAGGCCAAGGCCCAACCGGACGACTCCCGCAACCCCAAGAGCGTGTATGAGAACTTCCGACTCTGGCAGCGCTACAAGCCCCTGGCCCGGAGGCACCTTCCCCAGAGTCCGGACACCGAAGCGCTTTCCTGTTTCTTCATGTGAGTGTCCTCGGGGCTCCAGAGCTCATCCTGCAGCTCACCCATACAAAGGCTGCCGAATGGACGGGAGGTCACGCTCTTCAGGGGATCTTGCGGGGAGGTCTGGAAGGCGACGGGTGGAGCTACGGAAGCGCACACTTTCAGCAACATTCATCTGGCTGCCGCTCAGGACACACTCTCAGGGGGCGTCACCCCACCTGCCCCTCACTGTCCCATGAGTCCAGCCAATCCTTTCTTACTGGGCAGGTATCTGCAGCTTTGCCCTTGATCCCTTCTAGAAAAAGGGACAATGATGCTTCATTCAGAGGATGGTGAAGACGTGACTTGAGCTCACATAGGACGCATGTAGCAGGGTGCCCAGCACGTGCTGTGACCACATCACATGACAGCTGTTATGATTACCGCCCACCCCCCACCCCCATTACTATCATGATCAGGACTAGGCCATCTAGAACAGCGCTCCCCAAAGCCACCGGCTCCAGTGATAGCTCTGAGTGCACCACCACGAGCCCGGCAGCCCAGGGCCGTGGACTGTGGTGACTGAGGCAGCAATGCCAGCATCTCAGAGTTTGTTGATTCAGTCCCAGTCCTCCCTCTCTCCATCCTGCAGTGCCTCTGTGACCCCGTGTCCCCCGCGATGAGCAAACCCGTACTCCACGGGAGCTTGAACACACCCACCAGGCAACACATTGGCCAGTCCCCTAGCCAAGTCCCCTGCCCAGGGTGCAGGTGTTATGGAGGCCCCATCTGTGTCCCAAAAAATCTTGCCACCCTGAATCCTGGAACTGCTTGCATTCTCCCTTGGAGCTGAGTCCAGGTGAACAGGGGGACCCTGATTCTCAGAGTGGAGTCGCCCCGGGCTCACAGGCTTGGCGTGGACTGGGCTTCGATGCCGCTCTGCCTTGGTTCTGGTTTCTGCTCCTCTCCAGGACCCTGAGGCTGCGTCCCCAGGGGCTGCCTTGCTGCCTTGCTCCACAGTCCCCAGGAAGCTGGTTAAACCCTCAGTCCTGGGGCCCTGGAACCTGCACGTTAACCCTCGCTCCCCGGTCATTCTGTGTGTGCGCTGTCTCAGCCAGTTCAGACTCTACCATAACAAGTCCTATAGACTGGGTGCTTTACCGGGACACATTCACGTCTCCCAGTTCCAGAGGCCGGAAGTCCCAGATCAAGGCGACAGAACACTGGTGCCCTGGATGCAGAGGGCTGCCTCTGGCTATGATGTCCTCTTGCGGCTAAAAGGGAGAGCCCTGGTGTCTCCTCCTGCCCTTATCAGGGCTCGGATGCCATGATGGGAACCCACCCTCATGACCTGCTCTAACCCTGATGAACTCCAAGCACTGAAACACCGGGGCTTAGGGCTTCAGCACAGGAATGATGGGGACACTCACGTTCCACCCGTAGTACTGAGTTCCCTTGTCAACACGGTAACACTGAGGACTCGAGGGGCAGTTGGAGAGGCCAGCCGGTGGCTTGTGTGACTCATCTTGGGAGGCATATCCCACCCACGTGGGGGAGAACAGGACAGGGACCAGGTGTTGGGACCAGGTGGGCTTGGGATGGAGGGTAGGCTTACGGACTGGGACTGACCGCACCGCCTTACAGCCCGGTTCTCAGATCCCTGGCCCGGCGGAAGCCCAGCATGACCATGGAGGAGGGACTGCGGTGGGCCATGCGGGAATGGCAGCACACAAGCAACTCTGAACGCAAGATCTTCTACCAGATGGCGGCAAAGTGAGTCTGGGGTGCAGGGGCAGAGCCCACACGGCAGGGTGAGAGAGGGTGACAGAGGCCCGGTGGCCGTGGTGACTTTTCAGCGTGGAGCATGAGAAGGGTGTGGACAAACACAGGCCCTCCTGGGCCCCTGGCGCCCTCACGAAGCTGCTCCTCCCTCCTACAGTGCTCTGGGGTCTCTATCCTGCCCTGGTGGGCCAACGCCTGCCTGACACTAAGGGTCAGGGAGGGAGCAGCCCAAAAAAGATCACCGACAGCTATGAGGATGGGGAGAAGGGGCTCTGGCAACTATAGGCAGAGCGGGGTGCACTCTCCTGACAGCAGTGGCCAGAAGACGGTTTTCACCTATCCCAGCCTGGCCAGGAGTGGAGACACCTGCACTGGGTCAGGGGAGACCTGCGTCCAGGACACCTTGAGACCCATCTCTGGCCTGCCTGCTTTTGCTCCTCGTAGTCCCCTCCTTTAAGACACAAAGACAGCAGCCTCAGCCTCAGGGGACAGGGGCCCTGTCTTTTGGGCCCAGCTTTTGCTTCCTCCCGACCAGGGGTCTCCCAGGCCTCGTCTTCCCGGGTGATCCTTCAGGGACCCACAGTCCCAACCTCAGGACTCCTGCATCTGGGCAACATCGTGGACACCTTCTGCCAGAAACCCCACCCCTGGCCAGCTGAAGGCTGGAGGAGGGGAAACTGTGGTGCCCTCCTGGGCCTTGTAGCCCTCACTTAACTCAGAAAGCCCTGGACCCTCTCAGCAAGGCCTGCACCTTCTTCACCCCAGGTTCCTGGAGTTTGAGGCTGAGGAGATGCAGATTCAGAAGTTGCAGTGGATGATGGGGCCCCAGGGCCGGCCTCTTCCAGCCCTGCCGAGGCTTGAACCTCAGGGACCGTCAGCACCTGAGGTGGTCAAGGAGCCAGGTAACGGCTTCCCACATTCCTACAGGAGCCACAGCAAAGGCCAGAGGGGCCAAGGGAGGCCACTGTCCCCATACCCCATGCCTCCCTTCAAGAGAGGGATTTGTTCCTTCCAACAAGACAGCTCAGGGGAGCCGGGGCGGGGGGTGCTGGGCTGCCCGTGGTCGTGAAGTGGGTATTCACCTGGTCACGTTTCCTAGCTACTCTCTCCCCTCACCATTCAAAAACTCAACAATCTGCCCAGGAAGCAGAGATGAGCGGGTAGAGTACTTAGCATCTATCAGTGACTCCAAGCTTCCTCCAAAATGATGCTGTCTCACAGGTGCCCCGCCTATGGCATCTCTTCCAGGGGCGCTGTGGTTCAGGTGGTCCTGACCCAGCTGGGACCCACTTCGGGTCCCTGAGCCCTGCCCTCCCCTGTGTGATGCAGGCAGGAGGAGCAGCCCTCACCATGCCCATCCTCCTCCCTCCCTGCCTCAGTGGACCTTCCCAGCAAGGCCGACCCCAAGGCCCCGCCTGCCTGCCTGCCACCACATACGCCCCAGCGGCCAGCAGAGACCAAGGCCCACCTGCCACCACCCAGGCCCCAGCAGACGGCGGAGACCAAGGCCCCCGAGGAGATACCCCCTCAAGTGGTGCAGGAGTATGTGGACATCATGGAGGAGCTGCTGGGGACTCCCGTTGGGGCCACGGGGGAGTTCGAGGGACAATGGGAAGAGGGCGAAGAGAAGCAGCAAGGGGATGGGATGCTTCTAGACCCAGGCGTCCTGAGCTACGTCGACAATCTGTGCTCCCAGAAAGACTTCGTCACTAAGGTGGGCTGGCCTCAAGTGCTGGGGTCTGCGGGATTCCAGGGGGTGGCACTCGCAGGTCTTTGGAATTAAGCTCTGTTCCCTAGCGACTCCACAGTAGATGGCTGTGTGTGTTGCCGTCCATTTGAGGGTCTGTGCATGTGAGTGTGTGTGTGTGGGTGTGAGTGTGAAGTGTGTATGTTACTTGTGTCTATTTTCCTGTGTCATATGTGGGCCTGTTTGTGTGTCTGTGTGCGGTTTGTGTGTCTCTGCATCTGTGTAGGCTACCAGGTCTGTGGTCTGTGTGTGGAGCTGGTGGTCGCCCTGATATAACACAGCTCCGAAGGGTGGGGGCAAGGCGCTCACTGCTTTCTGCATCTCCTCCAGGTGTCCTTGGCTCCACCTTACTCCCTGCCCGGGACCCTCATGCCCCGCCATCTTCCTTGTGTTTCCAGGTGGAGGCCGTCATTCACCCCCGATTCCTGGAGGAATTGCTTTCTCCAGATCCAAAGATGGATTTCCTGGCCCTAAGCCAGGAGCTGGAGCAGGAGGAAGGACTCACCCTTGCCCAGGTAGAGCAGGGAGGGAGGGGAACCCAGGTGCCCCACCTGACTGCCTACCCCAACTCTCTGGGGGATGCTCGGCTTCTTGGGGGGCTGCTCCGAGGTGGGGAGGTGCAGGTTCAGACGGAGCAGGATGGAGAGGAGCCAGGGAGGGGAGTCAGGATGCAAACTGCAGTGAGGCCCAGCAAGATGCCTGGCAGAGACACACCCTCTGTCTCTGACAGAAAGCCCAGCTACCTCAGGCTTCCCTGCCTGCCGCCCAAGTGCCTTGGTCTCCACCACCCTGGGCCCTGTTCACACGTGGGGCAGCGCCAGAAAATGCCCCGTTTCCTCCCGCAGGTGGCAGAGAAGCGCCTCCAATCCTTGGAGGAGGAACGGCGTAAGAGGGCAGCCCCTAGTCATGGCACCACCCAGCTGGACTCCCTCTCTCCTAAGTCTGCAGCCGGCCAAGGAGCAGAGAGAGATGTCCCTGGCCCCCAACAAGGGGTCAGCATGGAAACCTGCCCACCCCGGACGGCTGCCCGGGACCCTCAGGGACAAGGCAGAGTGTGCATTCGGGTGGCCAAAAACCCGGTGGTGCTTTTGGAGAGGCTGGATTCTGGCAGGCTCAGGGCCGCCCGGCCAGACTCTCCTCCCCAGGACCAGAGACCCACCTGCCCAGGTGTGGGGACCCAGGACACCTGGGGTCTCCCTGGAGCCTCTCCTGTCAAGGAGTCACGCAGGCTGTGTAAGCGGTCAAGTGGGGAGGAGAGGAAGATCCCTGGCATGGTTTCTGTCGTGGGGACCCACTACAGGCTGCGGCCCTGGAAGCTGTCCCAGAGCCCTGTCCCTGCCTCGGGCCTTCTCAGTCCAGAAGGGCGGGGACCCCCGGGAGCTCTTCAGTCCCGAAGGGCAAGAAGAGGCCTCAGCCCAGCACCAGCACCGGCTCCCGCTCCTGCCACCACCTCCAAGAAGCGAGCTCTCTGCAGAGGCCTATCCCCTGCTGTTCAGACGCCCCACCTAAGGCCTGGGCTCAGAGTCTCTGGGGCACAATCCTCGGCTTGGGGGCCACCTAACACCTCACAGTCTCCAAAGAGAAATGGTGACCCCTTGCTCTCTAAGAGCAAGAAAAAGCAGCATCGTAGCCAGTAGAAGGACAGGGCAGGCTCTCTGGTGCCAATCCCCAAGGGTGGGGCTCTCAACTCTCGGACCCTCAGGGCATCAGGTGCCTCAAAGACTTCTCCGCCAGTGCTGACCTTGCTGGGCCTTAGCTTGATGGGAAAGGGTGGGAAAGGGAAGGGCGGGAGGGAGGGGAGCAATACCTTGGGAGTCTCCTCTGTAAATCTGAATAAATACACTTGTGTTGGAAATGCTCTCCGGGCTGCTGCCTCTGTCCTCAGGGCTGTGCTGCTCAGTGGAGGGGGTCTGTGAAGGAGTGCAGAGGGACCGGGAGATGCCAGGCACTGGGTACCCACGGCTGCCATGCCAGCCCCACTCGTCCCTCCAGATGTAGGTTGCCCCTTCAGATGCTCCAGGAACTGACAGATGCCGAGGAAACCCTGATCCCTCCCACCGCTCACCCACAAGGCCCCGACTGCTTTAGTTAGCAGCATCCCTGGAACATCCTGGGATGTTGAGAGCTGGCTGGCTCTCGTTCTGCCCCACAGGAGCTGAGGAGAAGGCAGCTGCCCGCAACATGGACCCGGGGAGAGGCGGTCACTCCTGCTAAACCCTCATCAGGAAGAGCTCAGGCCCTGGGCTGAGGGGAGATGTCGAGGCATCCATCCACACGGGTGTGTTTGGGATACGACGGTGGGTGGGGAGCAGGGGAAGTCCTTCTGCCCATTTCTAGACAGGAAAGACTCTTGCCCAACTGGCGGAAGCAGATGTTCCTTCTGTGGCCACAGGGACTGGCCTCAGGGGCACGTGGCGTCCTGCATGGAGCCCCCCCCCACAGCTATGATTCACTTCCCATATGATGACTGAACTCTTGTGTGGAATCAATGCAGACACAGATTTGAACCCAGGAGGCGGATGTTGCCGTGAGCCGGGATAGCACCATTGTACTCCAGCCTGGGCAACGAAGGCAAAACTCCACCTCAAAAATAAAAATAAATTAGCTGGGCTAATCCCAGCTGCTCCAGAGGCTGAGGCAGGATAATCACTTGAATCCAGGAGGCAGAGGTTGTGGTGAGCCAAGATGGTGCCATTGCACTACAGCCTCGGCGGCAAGAGCAAAACTCCTACCAAAAAAAAAAAAAAAAAAGAATTAACCAGGCATAGTGGCAGGCTCCTGCAGTCCCAGCTACTTGGGAGGCTGAGGCAGGAGAATTGCTTGAACCCAGGAGATGGCCACCAACGCACCAAGCTAATTTTTCTGTATCATTTGTAAACATGGGGTTTCACCACGTTGGCCAGGCTGGTCTCACAGCCCCATCTCGGGCAATCCACTCACCTCAGCCTCCCAACCTGCTGGGATTACATCTCTTTCAATCAGCTTCTGCACAGCAAAGAAAACAAACGACAGAGCAAAGAGACAACATGTTGAACGGGAAACCACGTGTGCAAACTATTCATGACGAAGGACTAAAATTCAGAACCCATAACGAGCTCAAATAACCGACAATTAAAAACGACAAATAATCCCACGAAAAAATGGGCGAAGGACATCGAAAACATACAAATAGCCAACTGATACATTAAAAAATGCTGACATCGGTATTCACCAGGTAAGTGCAAATCAAAACTACAACCAGATACCCACCACCTTACCACAGTTAGGGTATCTATTCTCAAAAATACAAACAGCAGATGCTGACATGATGCGGAGAAAAGGGAACTCTTACACACCGAGGTGGGACTGGAAATCAGCAACGTCGTGATGAAAACCAGTACGGAGATTTCTCAAAACACTAAAAACAAAACTACTACACGATCCAGCAATCCCACCACTGGCTATTTAACCAACATAAAAGAAATCAGCATATCAAATCAATGTGCACTCACGTGTTTATCATAGCACTATTGACAACAGCAAAGATATGGAATCAACCCAAGTATCCACCAACGCGAGCAGGCAAGGAAAACGTGGCATATATACAAATGGAAAGCTCTTCAGCCAGAAAAAAACACCAAAGCGAAAGCGCGTTGCTTGCAGCAACATGGATGAAGGTGGAGGTCATTATGTTAAGTGAAATAAGTCAGGCCAGCCATACATCACACATTCTCACAGACATGTGAGAATTAAAAACAACAACGACAACAAAAAAAAGTTGATCTTATGGAAAGAGAGAATATGATGACAGGTATCAGAGGCTGGGATGGGATGGGGGTGAGGAGGAGAGGTGTTGGTTAATGGGTACAAATGTACAGTTAGAAACAGTAAATCCTAATGTTCTATAGCAGAGTACGGTCACCATAGTTAGGCTGGAGTGCAACGGCGCGACGTATTTGCAATATGTTAGCAAATACCTATTGTATATTTCAAAGTAGCTGAAAGAGAAGGCTAGAAATGTTAACCAGCACACAGAGATGATCAATCTCGGCCAGGCACAGTAGCTCACACCTGTAATCCCAGAACTTTGGGAGGCTGAGGCAGACGGATCACCTGAGGTCAGGGTTCCAGACCAGCCTGGACCACATGGTGAAACCCTGTCTCTATTCAAAATACAAAAATTAGCCCAGTGTAGTGGTGCATGGCTCAATCCCAGCTTACTCCAAAGGCTGAGGCGGGAGAACTGCTTGAACTAGGGAGGCAGAGGTTACAGTAAGCCGAGATTGCACCACTGCACTCCGGCCTGGAAAACAGCAACACTCCGTCTTAAAAAATAAAATAAAATAAAATAAATACTCAAGGTGATGAATACTCCACGTACCCTGACTTGATCATTACACATTCTACACATGTAACAAGTATTCATATGAGGCCGGGCAGGGTGACTCACGCCTATAATCCCAGCTCTCTGGGAGGCCAAGAGGGGTTTATCATTTGAGGTCAGGAGGTCAAGACTAGTCTGGCCATCACGGTGAAACAGAATCTCTACTAAATTAGCTGGGTGTGGTGGCACATGCCTGTAATCCCAGCTACTCGGGAGGCTGAAGTAGGAGAGGGCTTCAATCCGGGAGGTGGAGGTTGCAGTGAGCTGAGATCCTGTCATTACACTCCAGCCTGGGAAACAAGAATAAAGTCCGTCTCAAAAAACAAAACAAACAAACAAAAACAAGTATTCATCATATGTATCCCACAAAGATGTAAAGTAGTATACATTAGTAAAAGGAAAAGACTGCTAGAAATTTAGCAATGTATTTCTATGCAAATGTTTAAAGCAGATATATAACATCTCAACATAAGTGAGAACATACAGATACACAACTTGCTTCTCTTATGAAATGTTACATTTTCCCTGTAATACACTAAGCCCTGGGCCCTCTTATCCCTTGACTCCACTTCTGAGGATTCAACTAACCTCACATTTTTAAAATGTCATTGACCCACCACAAAAGTTTAACCCAACCTTGACCTCAGAGTCTTCATAAACGCTCACTCAAGAAAATTTCCAGGACGACTCCGGGGCCTCTCTTCTGCTCACAGATTTCAATAGAGAACCTTAGGAACACGACTTTCAACCCGTGTACCAAATTCCCGCCTTGCCTTCTACCAGAAGATTCATTCCAACCACTGGATAGAAGAGAATCTTCCAGGACATCAGAGATGGCTTGCCTTAGGAGTAGGCCAAGTAAGAACACTGCTATCTATGCACAAAGAAAATAGGGTAAAATTGAGATACCTGTTACTCAACAGATTTCCTTGGCTTGAAAAAGAACTAGTAGACACTGGCCTAATGGGAGTTCAAAGAAGAGAACCATTCAAAGGTGGCTGCAGTTTCTGTGTGGATCATAGCCTGAGACCGCTGTGACAGGGAATCATGACACCAAGCCAATTCAACCACTATTATTCTTGTACTTTTCTTGCTGGTAATTTTATGCACCAGGCTAAGAAAGCTACGCTATGCTAGGACAGCCTGTATATCAATAATCTTGATAAAGAGTTCTGTGATGTCTTTTGTTACCTTTTCCTTTCTACCGTGATACCAGTAATTTATAAGAGACCTATGTAGCTTAAATGTGTTTGAGTAACTTCAACATACTTTAGCTCTCCTCTCTGCCATGACCCAAAGAGCCAGTAGGTCCTAAGATTCCCATGTGTGTCAGAAGCCTGAAGTCCGTGAGATGAAGCCCAACATCAAGAATCAGAGGAAACCAACTTGTGGGGCAAGAATGTAAAGAAAACACTGGGTAGTTTGGCTACAGTATTTAAGTTTCTTGTTTTCAAAAGTCTGAACTCCAATAAAAGGACTTTCAATGTGCTATTTTTGCAATTTTCAGTAACAAATGTGTGTATACCAAAACAATAAAACTGACATATTCAAGTAACATTAAAAAAAAAACATTCATGATGAATCAGTTACCTGGCTTTGGCACAGTAGGGAGTGGAGCTCAATTTCAACCCAGATGCTTCTGACTTGGAAGGCCATTCTTCCAAACATCCTTTTTCTAGTATGGTAAATATACATTCTGACTCCAGGTCTAACTCCAGAGACTACACTGGTTTCACAATACTCTGTCTTCTAACCTGAACAAAATACTTGCACAAAATAGTTGATTCTCTTCTTCCAATTTCTTTTCATTCAGTAAAAGGGAAAGAAAACACATTTAATTAGGCATCCAATAAATATAAACACAGTGTTAACATTTAAATGCTTTCTCAGCAAATATTATTTTAAATGATAAACCAAAAGAATGTGTATCTAACACACCAGAAAAAAGAAGCGAGCAATTAAGGAGTGCAGCCATTCACGCTGTAACTACGTGCAATGAGGTAAGTCACTGGGAAGGGAAAACTACCTACATTTCTTCCAGTTAAAACCAAATTAGTAACTCTCATCTTATAAATATGATAGCCAAATGTGAGACACTACCCACAAAATGCAGAGGGGCACACACAAGCCTCAGCAATACCATGACCCTTCAGTTCACAAGTAAGGGAGACACACCATTATCTGAGATATACTGTAAGGACACCAATGAGCAACAAACATATGGCATTACAATGGCTGTTTCAGGAAACATCCATTTACACTGTTTCCTGGATTTCAGGCATAAAAACATGACTGAAGGCATATACCGGCCCTATTGCCTTGACAATTCATAACCATTGTAACAGATACCATTTCGCTACTCAGAAGATTATAAAGGAATTGTATTTTTCATAAGACTCTACAACCTACTACCTGTAACTCTGACATGCACATATCGTACAACCGGAATATATAATTATCAAATCTGATAACCAACGTTCTGTAAATTACCAGCTATTACAATATTTTGGTGTTTGCCAGTTAACCAAGCAGAGGTGGGGGAAGGGGGTTTGGAAGAAGCCTCATTTCACCTGCTCTTTCCAAAATTTCACTTCAAGGGTGTTCAAAAACTCAGTATGCCCAGGTAGAAATCTCCAAGTGCGCCTAGTTTTCACTGCTTAACAAAAGCGATGTAGAAAGCAATTACTGTAGCCTCCATCAATCTTTTCAGATTGCACAGAATTCCTTCCAGAAAATTCCAATTAAAAAAAGGTATTCCCGTTTTAGTATGAACGTCGTGTTTCGCACAAGTCACTGGAGAGTGAAAGCCTTTAAAACATTTAAATGTTCCTGGTATTGCTTTCTGATGAACGTGATAATCCCTATTTACTAAGATTAAAAACCCTTCCACCACGTACGGAAAATCTCTCCAAAAACACAAAATCTAATTCAAAAATTACAAATAAAAAAAGAAATGTAAAAACAATTGCATAAACAAACTTTGACATGTGAATGGGTTGACATTACTGAAGTCATTACTCAAAAGAAACCTTTGTAAAATCGAGAACGCACAATCAATGCTACAGTAAGATGCTGGAGGAAGGGGATGCCCAGTCCCACATTGCAAATTTCAACACATTCGGCCCGGCGCGGTGGCTCACGCCTGCAATCCCAGCACTTTGGGAGGCCGAGGCGGGTGGATCACGAAGTCAAGAGATCGAGACCATCCTGGACAACATGGTGAAACCCCCCTCTCTACTAAAAATACAAAAAATTAGCTGGGCATGGTGGCGCACACCTGTAATCCCAGCTACTCGGGAGGCTGAGGCAGGAGAATTGCCTGAACCCAGGAGGCGGAGGTTGCGGTGAGCCGAGATCGCGCCATTGCACTCCAGCCTGGGTAACAAGAGCGAAACTCCGTCTCGAAAAATAAATGAATCAATAAAAAATTTCAACACATACATTCCTAGACGAATACATCCAAGGGCACTCAGGAGAAGAAAAGCGCTTGGCTCTCTGCAGAGCACGCAAGTTTCACCACGCGCATCAGGAAGGGGGCTGCGCCGGCGCGAGGACCGGCCGGTGGGCGTTCCGGCAACCCACAGCTTGCAAGGACCACGGCCATCCCCCGGGCCTAGGAAGGTGGCCCGAGGGCAGGCCCGCGTCCCTGGGGTGACCCAACCCGCCCGTCCCCCCGCCCCGGGATTAGGCAACCCTCCCCCTCCCCGCGTTCAACTTCGCGGCCCCACCGCCCCGCCCGCGGGCCTCCCAGCTCTGCTTCAAACAAAGCGCGCGTTAAGGGGTCTGCGGCGGCCAGAAAGTGGGGACAGGAGGGTGGCGGCCATGTTGGCGCGTGGCGGCGGAGATGGGGTGACGGAGGAGTACGGGCCGGCGAACAAGGAGCGCGTGCCCGCCCGGAGGCCCAGGCCCGCCCCGCCCGGGTCCCCGCCGCGGCCCGGCCGGCACGGGGCCCGGTGTGGGCGCCGCCCGAAGGACAGTGCTCTGCCGGGCCCCGCGCGGGTCGCGCTCACCAGCGCCCCTGGCCCGGCCGCTGCACCCCTGGCCCGCCCGCAACCCGCACCCTCTCACGGGCCTACACGACCCACGCTCGCCCCGCGCGGACCTTACCTGCTAGCAGCTGATGCCGCCGTCCACAGGCCCGTGCCGCCGTCGCTCGTTCGCGCTCTCGCCGGCCCCAGCCCCAGCCAGAAGGCGCCGCCCCGTCCCCGCTCCCTCGCCGCGTACGCCACCGGCTCCCCAGCAGCCAGGGGAGCCGCGCACTGCGCCAGACGAACTGCGACAGCCGCCCCGGCCGACTGCCCCAGGCCAACTGCAACAGCCGCTCTGGGGCCGGGCGCCGACTTCCCAGTACGCAGGCGCGACGGAGCGGAGAGGCGGGGCGGTGGAGCAAGGCAGGCCGGGGCGATGGAGGGGGTGACTAAGGCGGGGCCAGAGCACGGGACTTCCGGGTGCGCGCCGAAAATGGGCGTCCACAGGCGCCCGGAGCCCTGTAGCCTGAGGGAGCGCGGCTTCTCCCGGAGGGCAGGCAGCCAGAGAAGGGCTTCCTTTTCGCCCAGTAGGACTTTCCAGAAAGGATAGGGCCGGGCGCGGTGGCTCACGCCTGTAATCCCAGCACTTTGGGAGGCTGAGGCGAACGGATCACGAGGTCAAGAGATCGAAACCATCCTGGCCAACATGGTGAACCCCGCCTCTATAAAAAAAGAAAAAAAGAAACCTCACCATGGATGGATGCAATCAATGGATGGTTGAGAGAAATGGATGGATGAGGCAGATGGATGAATGGATGCATGGGTAATGGGTGAGTGGATGGGATGGATGGATAGATGGACAGTTGACAGATGAATGGATGGGATAGATGGATGGATTAATACGATGGATGGGTGGGGATGGATGGATGGGGTGAATGGATGCATGCGATGGATGGATGGATGAGATGGATAGATGGATGGATGAATGAGATGAATGGATGGATGGACCAATAGTTAGATAGGTGGATGACTGGATGGATGGATGACTGGATAGATGGATGTGTGTTACTGGGAAGGGCAGGGGTGCAGTTCAGCCAGAACAGCCTCTCGCTTGGCACATAGTGGTTGCCGGCCTCAAGTCCTTCCTGCCCTGCCTGGTCCTGTGTTTGAGAAAGAACTATGGAGTATATTACTTTGTGCCCATGCAGTGCTTGCAAATGCGAGAAACACATGTCATTTTTCAATGAAAACCTAACTTGGTCTTGAGTCCCAAACTTGGGATTAACAAAGCCAGCGAACCAGCGAATCTGTTTACTCTTGAGAAAGAGTAAACAGATGTCCTGCCCAGAGTGAGGTGGCCGAGGTCTAATCAGGAAGATGGGGACAGATGGTTGGAGGGCAGGGCGGTGAGAAGCACCAACTCCAGGAAATAGAGGAAGTGCTGTCAGAGTTCAGAGGATTTTTAATGGCAAAAGAGTAAGAGGGCCTAGAAGTCATGGCTCTCACAGAGCGTAAACGCTGGAGGAGACAGGTGCACGTGTGTCCTCAGAGGACCAGTGTGGGGGGCAGTTCTTAGGAGGATCCTGTAAATACTGCTGCTTCCTCAAACCAGGGCAGTTAGGCCCCAGTGAGACCACCTCTGTCTCCGGTCCCACCCTCTCCGAGGCTGGGCTTCATAGAGGATGAATGCAGACCTGGATCACTTGGCATCAGGGCAGAGTTCCAGTGAAATTCTGATGAAGGTAAAAGCCTCAGGCCACCCTGGGTGGGCAGACTTCAGCTGCCAGCTGGGAGCCATGCGCTACTCTTGGCCCTGCTGATCCCAAAGTCTGCTCCGCTCACCTTCTCCGGCCACCCTCCCTGACGCTGTGCTTCCCACCAGCCCCTCCATCAGTGTGGGTCCCCATCCCTTCCTCTGCACCCTCCAGAGCACACCCGTCATCCCACCATACTTCCAGACCCGATGCCAGAGGCCTTCTGACCTCCTTCAGCGCCCTCTGTGGCCCGTAAGCCCCATGAAAGGCTTATGTGGCCCCTCACGGTTTTATCCGTGTTGGAGCTGTGGACACATTTCCCAGGAGGCCTCTCAGTGTGGTGGGGGAGCGCAGGGAGGACAGGAGTAAACCTTCCTCTGCCAGGGCCCTTCTGTGGCTTGGGTCAGATCACTGCCACTCCCTGAGCCTCAGCTTCTCATCTCAGAGGTGGGCCTGTGATACCCATTTACAGGACTTTCCAGGGGTTTTAGTGTGATCGAGGCTGTGAAGGCTTCTGTGTGGCCTGGTGGCCAAGAGCAGGCCCTCAGAAGGGCCCCAGCATACCTCTCCCTGAGGCTTTGAGGCTGGATTGTTTCGGAGCTGAGGGAAGGGGAGGGGTTGTTTCCTGAGGAAGTGATTTTTTCCTGATTTGTTCTGAAGGTGGAGGTGACAGAACTTCCCAGGTAGCCCTTCGTGTGGGCACTGCCCACTCATGACAGAGCCTGGCCGTCAGCCTCGAGCGGCACCAGCAGCACCTTGGGCCGGTAACACAAAGATCGCTGGGCTCCTATGTTTGAGGAAAGCTCATGTATATAGAAATGTGCATTCTGACCTGTCCCGGGTAAATCCATGCTGATGCCCCGGGTCCTGGGACCCCACTGGGACCCATTGCCCTAAAGAATACAAAAGAAACATTGAGAAATTTGGGGCAGCATTGCCCACCACTCTTCCCTTTGAGAGTATCCCCAGGACGTGTTACAGGTGGGTAAATGTCAGCCTCGGATCCATTCCCCACATTTTCAGTGCCCTTCCCTTGCGGAGGGTGGGAGCACCACTGTGCAGCCTAGTCCAAGCCTGCTCGTGGCTTCCCATCATGTGGTCAGAGGTAAGCAGCCTCCAGGATTCTCTCCTGGAATTTCATTATGCGCCTTAGCTTGTGACCTGGTGCGGAGGCCCTGCCTCAGAGAAAGCCACACAGCCCATTTAACCAGACATTTGCCAAACCCACCTGACGACAAGGCACCTCTTGGGCAGTGCATTGGGATGTTTTGAACACACCTAAGCAATGAGGTTGGACTTGAAAATCCTTTCCAAGCTCTCCCCAGTGCGGGGATGATGTAGTGGTCTCCCTTACCTACCTGGTTCTTCTGGGAGTGTCCTGCGTCTAGGTCTGGCACACCACACCGCATGGTGAGCTCAATGAGCTCCACGGCTGCAGAATCACACAGATTTTCATTCATCTTTCCTTGTTTTCGAGATGGAGTTTCGCTGTTGTTGCCCAGGCTGGAGTACAAGGGCACAAACTGGGCTCACTGCAACCTCCACCTCCTGGGTTCAAGAGATTCTCCTGCCTCAGCCTCCCGAGTAGTTGGGATTACAGGCACCCACCACCACGCTCAGCTAATTTTTTGTATTTTTAGTAGAAACGGGATTTCACCATGTTGGCCAGGCTAGTTTTGAACTCCTGACCTCAGGCAATCTGCCTGCCTTGGCCTCCCAAAGTGCTGGGATTACAGGTGTGAGCCACCACACCTGACCTATTCATCTTCTTTCCCCAGTAATTCACCTGGGTTTTTATAGGAATGCATGTACATATCCTGAATAGCAAACCTAAAAACATTTATAATGCCTACCTCATGCAGTAGAACTTCAGCTATTCGTGTTAATTATAGTGAATGGTAGATGTGCATCTTTAAAAATATGCGGTGGTGTTACTTTCATGATTAAGCCGTAGCGCACACTTGTCTACTCCAGAGGTACCACGTGAATTCTCGTAGAGGTGACGTGACTGAAGGCACATAGGGGGATTACTTGTAATAAGCATCAATTATTTGTAAATTTAGGGTCTTTTGGTTTTAATATTCTTCCTACTATCTTATTTGCCCATAACCTTTGACCCAATGAATATGAACTTCAAATTAGTGAACCCAACTAAATAAGGTTTTACTCTGTCAGAAAAATCACTCACCCAACAACAGGCACAGCTGTGCTCCTGTGCTCGTGTGCCCTTGTTAGAGGTGCACACAGTGTCCAGAGCCTTATACTCATTCCTATATGGGCCTGCAGTGTAGGAGTCCACCTGCACAATCACACAAGGACTTTCCGCCATTGCTTACGACAACAGAGAAAAGTGAAAGCACGGGGAACTGTTATCATTAGTAGTGTGGTTTCAGAATCTCTGTGCTTTTCACACTGTAGGCTGTAGCCCATTGGTTGGTCATGAAGTCGGCTTAGTGGATGGAGATCAGCATTTTTAAACAATGAGATGGGACCATGCAGAAAATATTAGTGTATCCCAGGATACAAGGGCAGAATTGTTTAGGGCTGTGTGTGTGTGATGTGTGCATGCATGTGCGTGTCTGCATATGTGTGTGTGTGCATGTGTGTGTGTATATGTGTGTCTGCGTGTCTCTGTGCGTGTGTCTGTGTATGTGTATCTGTATGTGTGTTTGCACATTTGTGTCAGTATTTGTATATGTGTGTGTGAGTGTGTGTGTATGGGTTTGTCTGCATGTGTGTGTAGGTATGTGTGTGTGTGTGTGTGTCTGTGTGTCTGTGTTTGTGTACGCTTGTGCCCAGTGCATCACAATGTAAAATAATCCAGGTTTTAATTGTAGGTCATGCTGACAATGTAGTAAAGCCATTGACAGAATATCTTTTAAGCAATTCCAGAGTAGAGAAGAATGAATAATTTAGTTTTAAAAGTTTCCTCCTCAAAGTGATCATTTGACTTTATATACTCCCAAGTTATTTCTCTGCTTTGACAGCATCTGCCCTTTATAATCTGCCTGTTAGGATATCTGCCTGGAGTTGCAGCAATGTTCGAGTTTGTATTGCCTGTGGAATTCCTTTGTACTTAATATTAAAGGATGATTCAACTCTTCAGTGTAGCAACCCACTCTTAAGAATTTCAAGCCTAAATAAGAATTAGAGCCACTTGGAGGTAGTGATGGCATGGGTGAGGCACCAAATTAATGTGACCAACGGAGAATTTAATCTAAAAGAGAACTGGATGATGAGCAGAGCCGCTGCTCCTCCAGTGCCACCCATCCATCACAGCACTCTTGCACCCTAGCATCTGTGCATCGCATCATTTCTGTGCCATGCCACCTTGTGCCATACCCACACACCACACCACCCGTGCATCACACCACCTGTGCATCATACCACCTGTGCACCACACTGTCTGTGCACCACACTGCTTGCAAATCCAACACCCGTGCATCACAGCACCCGTGCATCACACCACCTATACATCACACTGTCCATGCACCACACTGCTCACAGATCACACCACCCATGCATCGCAGCACCTATGCGTCACACTGTCCATGCACCACACTGCTCTCAGATCATACCACCCATGCATCGCAACACCCGGGCATCACACCACCTGTACATCACATTGCCTTTGCACCACATAGTTTATGCACCACATCACCCATGCATCTCAGCTTTCCTGCCCTCAGCTCAGTGCTGGAGCCACATTCTTAAGGGGTTTTGAACATGAGTCTTTAAATTACTCAAGTTTGTGCTGCTGTTGAGAAAAGGCAGAATCCACCCCTGAGCATTTCTCCCATTCCCGGGGCCACCCACATGTCTGCCTCTCAACACTTGCTCAGCTGACTATGCTACACTTTTCAGATATCAGCTGAAACCTCACTGGCCCTCCAAACCAGTTTAAACCCCTGCTCTGTGCTCCTGTAGGCCCTTGGCCTTCCCCTCCATAGCTCTTTGCTTAATTGGGAACGCCCAGTTGATTTTTCATTATTCATT